ATGAAACGTACGTTGAAATCCAAGTATCATGTTTCATGTACTCAAAATCAAAGCAGTAAAAAGCGTGGTAAAATCAGTATTCCTTTAAACGAATTAATCACTGCTGTTTCACATCTTGGCAATAATATATCTGAATTGGATAAAGATAAAAAATGGCGTTCATGTAACTCATTATGGTCCCAAGTCGCAGCTGATTTAGCTACTCGTTTACCAATTCATAATGATCTTCGTGTTCGAAAATACATTTATACTATATGGTATCGTGAATCCGCCAAGCTTCGATCTCATTTTACTAAAAATCCATTACCACCACCAACAAAAAAAGCTATTGTTAAAGAACTTTCATGCATACCAAGCTTGACAAAAGTCCGCACACGATCAAAAGAATCCAACTCAGCAGGTACAAACGGTAACACCATTGAACATCAACAACATTTAATTGAATTTACTTATGAAGAATGGCGTAATGTATGTTTTGCTAAATGATACATATAAAAGCAAATTCGTTATTTAAATTTTTGATAACAATTTTTTAATTTAGATTTACAAGAAAGAAGTTAAATCTCATGATATGGATTCATCATGGACCGATGTATTCTATGATAAATTAGTTGACTCAAAATTAATTACCTGCAGTATTGTTTTTACTTATTCGAAACTTCGACAATTATATACACGAAAAATGAACTCTCCTTTATTCAAATGTAATGCACATTGTCCAAATTCGAGTTGTCCATTGAAGTTAAAAATTAAAATGGTTCAACTTGCTTCACCTAATCGATCAGTCTTTTTTCGAGTGGAGATTTTTGGTACTCCACGACATGATAATCCATTAGAAATCAATCAACGTCACGTGAAGGGTGATAAACGAGCACAAATGGGTAAGTTATATTATTATAATCAGATTTAGCATGTAATGATTATCGCATTATATTTAGCTAAAACAGCCAAGGAACAAGGAATCTTGGCAACATACGAGAAGAATCTACTTAATGCCAATAATGAACTTTTAAAATGTAATAATTATACAGAAGTACCTACTACACACGTGATTACAACAGCTGTTAAACAACAATCTGATGAAATGTGTCTTGATAAAAATATATTTGTTGAATTGGAAATGATGTTATTTTCCATGAGGGAATCAGATAAAGATTCTCATTTACAAAATAAAGGTAGTTTATTCCCTTTTCTGAAAGAAAGGGTTATACACATTAAAATCATGGGCTAAAAATGCGAAAAGTTTGTCTGTCTGTCTGTCTGTCCAAGCCAATCAGAAATCAGCACGTTATAAATCAATGAAAACTAACTGTTAGCCGTTCGAAAATCATTCCATAAAGGTTTTTGGGGTCGAAGAACTCGAATCTGACGTCAATTGGGTGATTCGGGTGAACGGGGTGGGTGGAAACGTGGGTGGGTGAAAGGTCAAAAAAACATTTAATATCGTTTTTTTTCTAAAAAACGTTTTTCGAGGTATTTCGATGCGGGGAATTCGAATTTGAGGTCTATTGGGTGATTGGGGTTATGAGGATGGGTGAATAAGTGGGTGGGTGGGTGAAAGGTCAAAAAAA